AAGAAATTCTAAAAGCACAACTACAAATAATTCCAACAAGAAAAAAAAGGGGGAGGTGGCAAAAAAAAAAAAAACAAGGCCAGTGTGGCTTCACAAAAAGCTCCAGGAGGATCTGAAAACCAACAACAATAACAACAAAAAACCACCATGTACAGGAAATGGGAAGAAGGCCAGGCCAGGCCACCAAGGATGTGTACAGACAAGTAGCAAGAAAATGCAGGGAGTGCATTAGGACAGCAAAAGCTGAGAATGAGCCGAGGTTAGCTAGAGACACTAAAAGCAAAAAACACACACACACCCCCAAAAAACACCAAACACGCATTCTTCAGGTATGTGAGACAAAAGACATAGTGGCACAGCTCCACAATGAAGATGGGAAAATGATAACAGAGGACAATGAAAAGGCACAGTTGCTTGACACGATCCCCAAGTGGCCCCTGCTTGTTTCACCAAACTAGGAGCTCACGCTACATGCCCCTCAGCTGCCACCAGTTGATTTCATCAACAATACAGTGGTGCCACGCATAGCGAGGTTAATCCATTCCGGATTAACCATCGCTATGGGGAAACATCGCTATATGGAACGGAAAATGCCATAGGAATGCATTAAACTTAGTTTAATGCGTTCCAATGGCTTCTAAACTCACCGTTAAGCGATGTTTCCTCATCCGGCCGCCATTTTTGCACCCTCGGTCAGTGAGGGCAGGGCACGAAAACGCTGTGTGCGGCCATTTTGGGCGTCCGGCAGCCATTTTGGAACTGCAGAACAGCTGATTTTTAAAAATCGCTATGCGGACATCGGTGAGCGAAACGCTTACCGATCGTCGCAAAGCGATTTTTGGCCATAGAGAACATCTGTATGCGATCGCATTAGCGATCCCAAAAAATGGATCTCTATGCGAATTCGTCATTAAACGGTGCGCTCGTTATGCGAGGCACCACTGGACCTATATTTAATGATAGATGTCCAGGCCATACAGTATGTCATTTTAAACCTACCAAATAGAAATTGTTTATTGATACAGGTGTTGACAGAGCAAGCAATGTTGTTAACCCTTAACAAACATCCTTCTTCATCCCTTCTCAACCACCACTTTCCTACCCAAACCCCACACCAAACTCTCTAACTCTCTCTCAAAACTCTCTATCTCCTCACTGAAACTCCCCCTCCTTCTGCTGAGTCTCTTATATCTCCTGACTCCGCACCTCCAGCATTCCCATTGGTCTATGCAGATAACATATGAATATTAATGATTTGGGCAGACGCCACAGTGCTCAATTCCTATTGTAGTTCTGTCTTTCTCCATAAGACAGACTATGACTTCCAAACAAACTGGAAGTATAAGTGGCAGGGGCAAGATTGCAGCTGGAGATAGATAAACAAATAGTCAAGGAATACCTTACAACCTTAAATGAGTTCCAGGGCTGGATGAACTGCATCTGAGAGTATTGAAGGAACTGACAGAAGAACTCTCAGAACCGCTATCCACTATTTTCTTGAAATCATGGGAAACGGGGGAGGTGCCAGAGGATTGGAGGAGGGCCAATGTTGTCCCTCTCTTCAAAAAGGGCAAAAAAGAGGAACTGGGAACTACAGGCCAGTCAGCCTGACATCAATCCCAGACAAAATTCTGAAACAGTTCATAAAATGGTCATTGTGCAAGTACCTAGAAAACAGTGCAGTAATAACTAGAACCCAACACAGATTTGCCAAGAAAAAATCCTGCCAAACTTACTTGATCTTGTTTTTTGATCAGGTCACCTCCCTGATAGACAGAGAGACATTGGCCTGGTGCTCTTCAATATTTTTTATTAATGATTTGGATGACTGCAAGGAATGCTCGTAAAATTTGCAGATGATACCAAATTGGGAGGAACAGCTAATACCCTAGAAATTCAAAATGACCTTGATAGGACGGAGCACTGAGCCGAAAGCAACAGAAGATAAGTCCTACACCTCAGAAAAAGAAAACAACTGCACAGTTACAAGATCGGGGATACCTGGCTCAGGAAAACTATGAGCGAGAAGGTTCTTGAAATTGTTGTAGATCACAAGTTAAATATGAGCAAACAGAGTGATGTGGCTACAAAAAAAGGTCAATGCTATTTTAGGCTGCATTAATAGAAGTATAGTTTTAAAATCCTGCAAGGTGCTAGTCCCCCTCTATTCAGCACTGATTAGGCCTCACCTTGAGTATTGTGTCTAGTTCTGGACACCACACTTCAAGAAGGATGCTATCAAATGGGAACAAGTTCAGAGAAGCATGACAAGGATGATCAGAGGGCTGGAAACCAAGACTTACGATGAAAGGCTGAAAGAATTGGGCATGTTTAGCCTTGAGAAAAGAAGACAGAGGGGTGATATAATAGTACTTTTCAAATATATGAAAGACTGTCATACAGTGGAGGGGCAAGATCTATTCTCGATCATTCCAGAGTGCAGGGCATTCAACAATGGGCTCAAGTTAAAGGAACCAGATTTTGGCTGAATATCAGGAAAAACTTCCTAACTGTGAGAGCAGTACGACAGTGGAACCAGTTACCGCAGGAGTTGGTGCATGCTCCAACACTGGAGACATTGAAGAAAAACTTAGATAATTACCTAGCGGATATACTTTGATTGTACTCCTACATTGAGCAGGGGGTTGGACTTGATGGCCTTGTAGACCCCTTCCAACTTCACGTTTCTATGATATCTATGATTTAGTCCATTGTTTGGTCCACTGTGAGGACAGCTTGCTTGCTCCTTTTGCCGGCAATCAGACAACACCAACATATTTGCTAGGGTAAACTGACGTATAATCCCAAAGCCGTAACACAACCAACCAGACAAGCAAAACAGGCCATGCAGTACTTAAAACACAATTAAGATCTCAAAAGAACAGGACAAGCAAAACAGGCCATGCAGTACTTAATAAAACACAAATTAGATCTCAAAAGAATAATAGAGAATATATTAAATATAGCCTACACCGTCTGCTCATCAGCACAAAGAGGAACAGCTATCTCATACACCACACATTTTAGCATTATTAAATGCAGATTCCAATGCATCATCCACAGCATGACTGAGGAAGTAGTTTAGGCAGTGAAAAAAATAATTCTTGGGTTCTGTTACCTCAGAGGTGAAATGTCATGTGGTGTTTTTTTTTTTTTAAGAGAAATGAAATACAATGGCACAATATTTGACCACAGCTAGGGCTGCCTGGGGGATCCTGGGTGGTCTGTTACAAGAAAATACCACTTCCAAACCCTGGGCTGAATGCCCGGTAAGTTGGTGAAAGACAGCAGTCCAAGTGTGTCTCCTACAGGGGTGCTTCCCAACCTTGGGTAACCCAGGTGTTCTTCGATTGCAATTCCCAGAAGCCTTCATGACCAGCTGTACTGGCCAGGGATTCTGGGAATTGCAGTCCAAGAATACCTAGGTTACCCAAGGCAATATCTTGTGGTTCAAATGACCAAGAATCAACTATCTGCATCTAAGAGAAAGTAGGTCACTCTCGATTTTTTTGTAACTCTATGTTCAATCTTTGACCTTCCATTCCGGTAGCAAACACTGTGCCGGTTTGTTTAAAGAGCCAGATGTTCTAATCATCTCAGCCCCACCCTCCGCTATACAAAACCGTTCCCCAAGCTCCGCCCTCTTTTGTTACAAGGAGTCAAACGGACCAACTTCCCCCCTTTCCTTCTCCGAACTCAGAGAAGTGGTAAGACCACGGATGAGGCGCATGCGCGGCACTAGCAGACAGTCGAGGGGCAGCGGCGGCGGCTGCTTCTGCGGCGCTCGCGCAGGTAGCCGCCCCGGCAGCTGCGGGACTCGCTGCAGCCCTA